GCAGCCTTCTTTCAGCACAATTCTGCACAAAAATCTGTTAACTACAGAACTAATTTAGGTGTGTACATATGCACAGCTTTCCTAACATGCAATCAAGAGGACGAAGCAGCCAACTATAGAGCTGACAGCTTCAAACTTGAACAGATTATGGATGGCCACACAGTTTCGCTGCTAGTTTAGATTATTAAGGGATTCTAATTCAACATAACACAGATGCAGTAAAGCACTCATTCTTCCTATAATTGACTTTCATGGACTCTGGACAAACAACATACTGCAGAACAAGGCACCATATAAAATCAGTGTCAAAGGAAAACATTAGTGCTGTAGATAGAGAAAAACATCCAGTTGTGGGAAGACTGCACTGTCAAATGTCCTTACAGGAGGATGAGAAAGTTACAACCAAATAGACAATTGTTAATTGATCATTTTCTGGGTTTTGAGCACTTAACAGTGTCTCCTTAATGCTGTCTTAAAGCTCAGCTATACGCAGCAGCCAGCTGTGTGTTGCATGGACTTCCTTCAGTGCACACTTAGTGAGAAAGCTTAGTCCCAGGAGTATCATGCTTCCACAGAATGCAATTGAGAAGCTGTAAAATGATTGATTTTCATGGGAACATTCAAAGCCACTTCTCACTGAAGGCAATTTCTGAGAATTGTCATCCTTCTACTATTTTGACTGTAGAGCTTTATATAAATTGGTTGCAAGATTTTGTGGTTGTTGCTTTCCTTCTTGAGGGAGCCATTTTTCATTCTTCTTAACAAAAAAAAAAGAAGAAAAAAGCCTTTAAACAAACAAACAAATGACTAAGCCAAGTTCACATTTCAACTCTTTTGTCTTCTCCAGGAAGAGTTTGCTTGATTTGCTTTCTGGAAGGAAGATTTTATTCTAAAAATTTCAAGTTTTGTGAATAGCTCTAAAAGGGGATACAAATAGAAACACAAGCATAACCGTGCAGTGGTTAGCTATCACATCACATCATCGAGCTTCATCTTACAGTAAGGAAGCAATAGTAGGGGCCAAAGCTGGGAGAAATCTTTTCCACTCTACTGTAAATGCAGGCAGTGCATCCAAAAATGGTGACCCTACACATGACCACCTAAGAGGCAGTTTGCATGTAACGACCTCTCCTGCTGAGAAAGTGAGTGTAGTGACTGAGAAGTGGCGTATTGGCAACTGGAGAGATGTTGTGTGGCAGACTGCAATTTCACATGGAAACACAGAGGATCTGTAACCTCTGATGCACAATTTAAACTGAAATCCATTGGGCTTAGAGCAACTAGTCTCTCAGCATCCCATTAAAGAGCTGAAATAGTGCATGGAAGTCCCTTGTATTATTATTCCTAGCATCTAAATAGGGATTTGCAGCATTTCAAAAACAGAGACTAAGAAAATTAGTAGTTAGAAGCTGCAAATACATCCTTATTTCCCAAGACCCCATGTGAAACCCACATGGGACTTAATCAATGTAAAGATGAGAACGTAAGTGATTACAGGACTATGCCATGCAATGTTTAAAAAAGTTTAAATGTTGCCTTTAGGCATGGCTTTGAAAGGACTTCAATAGGCTGACTCTTTCTTCTAGCCAAGGAGCTGAAAATGCTGCAGCCACACTTGAAATGCTTCTAAGATTGTAATGCATTCCCCCTAGCAATACAGCAGGTACTTTAGACAGGAACGATGTGGGGTTCTTTTGTTGGTAGTGTTTTTTTTTATTTGACCTTCTTCCCCAATAAAGAAGAAACATTCTAAAAACTGGCAATTGGAAGAAACTGATTGCACACAAATAAGATGCTTATGACCGTGAAAATCAACAACAATCACTAAGTGCCCCTGCAAGCTGACAGCTGCCCAAATAAACAGCAAAATGCAGCTATAAGAAGTTTTGCTTATTTACATTGTACAGATCAAATACAAGTTTTCAGAAATTACCTGGGTCCATCTGTGTGCAGGATGCACTTCCATTTGGATCATGGAAAAATGCCTGAAACAACCTCATATAATCTACATGCAGGAGAATTTAAGCTGGTCCATGACCTTGAATTAGATTGCTTGTTACTGCATTCCAGGGACAGCATAGGTCCTGCCAGTGCTTGATGCTGGTTTGACTTTACACACGCTTAAGATAAAAGAAAGAAATCTTTGTTGCATTTCTTTGTACACAAAGGCTTTGAAGCTGAACTCCCACGTGGGTATAAGCACCATTTGATTATTAGGGATTTTAAAGCACAGCAGCTTTTGTGGGATTGTTTTTTTTTTTTTTTTTTTTAAAGAAAAGGAAACAAAAAAGATTCAACAAGCTTTCAGACTTCCAGGGGACTCAACGGGGGGCAGAGTATATCATGATATTGTTAGACGCTGCCACTCACAGCTCACTCCGAGACAGCTGCAATAACACCTCTTTCACAAATGGAACATGCTAAAACACCTCTGCAGAGCTTTCTATCCAAACCAGTGTACCAGCAAAATCCATTATCACTGTTCAGCTATGTTTTCAAACACAGATTGATCTACTTGTCTCCTGTAAGTACCTACACAACTTGAAGCTACCCGGGGACTTGGCTGGAGCTGGAGCTCCTCAGCTTTATGCCCCCTGCAGTGCTTACCTGCAGCAGCAGCCTATGCATCTCCCTGATGGCTCACTTGACTGGACAAACTGATACCCACTAACACAGAACATGTTCATCACATTAACTGCCTTGCTGTGTTCCCCTAACATCCCCAGGATGCACTGCACCATCACTCCTTCCTGACTCACATCTTCATCTATCCAGCATGCTAATAACTGACTTGCAACTCCTGGAGCTCTCCACATTCTCTTGCAGTGATGATTTCTGCTCCCTAGGAACAGACTACTGTTACATACTAATTTGGTGATCTAAAAGATTCCATTGTTTAAAATCCCAGCAGTGGCTGTACCCATTGCAACAAAAGCTTAGAAAGGTGGGGGTTTTATTTGTTTGTTTTAAACAGAACTAGAGAAAAAATACAGTACAGAAAATCCAGTGAGTCAGACCTAAATGATGATGATGCAGAAGGAACTATTACTTCATTTGGGGAAAGAAGATGGCTTTTTTGTTTTCTTTTTATTAGGAAAGTTTGTGCCAAAAGGTATTTGAGAGAGAGTCACCTGAACAATACCTATGTGTGAATCTAGGCAGCTACTCCCAGGTGTAATGCAGAACTTGACATCACCAGCTCAAATTTATAATGTGGTGTTTCTTGATCTGTACTTGGAGGGAATTTTTCTTTAATAAATTTTAGTTGGTTCTTGGGTTTGTTTCTCCCTAATGACAGCAACACAACCGCAGAGTTTCTAGACAGCTGCAGACATCACTGAGTTTCCTGCTCCTGCTGGTGACAGAGCAGCGCTGCCAGTGCTGGCTTTCAGGAACTGTGCTCCCTACAGAGACCTCCTTAAAGCAGCACCACACAGGTTCCTAGTTTGACCTTCTTTTATTTTGCTTTCTGTTGCAGTTAAAGCTTAATACTTCTACCTAGATCAGTACTGCAGAGCACAGATACCTGAAAAAACTTAAAACCTATCACAGACTAACTACTAGCTTTTTCTTCCTCTTTAACCAATAGGTCAAAGCAGCATCAGGCTTTGATAACAAATAAATGACCAAACCCTGTCTAAATGCTTTAAAGGATATTACTAGTGAGGAATTACTTTAGCATGAAGTCTTAAAATAATGCCTGTAGAGACTCACTTTCAGGTTTATGTATCCATAGCAGCCTAGGAATTAGGCAAGCAATACAAAAAATGCAATGATCAGGGCAATACTGGAGGTTTCTTGGTATTTCCAGGAAGATTAAACTTCATCTGCAGGTAGCAGGATGAGACATTTCTGTGCAAATACTTATGCTTTATTTACTAAGCAATTTAAAATACAAAGTCTCCTGTTACTTAGAACAAGCACATGTATTTGCTTGTTCAACATCCTGACAATGTCTCTGAAAGCACTCTGGCCTCTCACCAGATTATAGGTAATTGCTCATCTGTATTTTTGTCTCCACCTGGTCAACTCCATTTATGTCAATAGACTTCTCCCAGGGTGTCAAGGAGAATGGGAATGCTCTGGATGAATTTTGGCATTTCTTGACAAACCTCAGACACTACAGTTCTCCTGGTATTAACTTAACACTTGGACTTTCATCCTTTTGGGGAGTGGGAAAAGTTGGAATTCACCTTGACTTCTCTTTGGCTTCAGCTATCAAATGTGCATAAAGTCATTATCAGAAAAGAAAAGATCTGTTTGTGCCTCACTGAGACTGGAGAAGTGGTATGACTCGAGGGGCAAAGGCACAGTCATGAAGCATCACTACCCTGGAGGCATTAAAATATCTCTATGCAGCTGCTCTGCCAGAAAAGCTACTTGGTTTGCTGAAGTCCTTTCAATGAGCTGAGCCCAAGGCAATATTTTAGAAGGAAACTGCCTCTTTAAAAATTAAAAGGAGTTATTTTTGCATCATTTGACTGGGATTGCTTTAAATGTGTTCCATTATAGGTCACGTCCACTGCCAGAAAAATAATGCATTCACAACTGATTCTATTCAGACCAATTTCTTAAAAAATGCAGATTGCTTTAGTGCGTAACTCCTCATTCATATACAGAGGATAGCCTATTATACCTGCAAAAGCCATGAAATTCCAAGGGTTTGCTTGAGTTCAGGACAGGTCCTTTGCAATCTGCAGAGATTTTTCCAAGTGACTGCACAATGACCAACAAAACACAACTTCTGACTCCAGTAAAGGATTATCCCTTGGCAAAATTTGCCACAAATACTGGTGAAGCATTCCTCCCCCCAGTCCCCACATGCCTTGAACTGGAACACTTTTTCAGTGACAACAGCAGAATATCTCAAATATTCTTATGTATTTTATTCAGGCTTATCATAGTGTTTTCTGAAATCTCCCAGAGCTCATGACTGGCTTAAACACATATGAGAAAGGCCCTATGGCATACGTGGTTTGACAAAAGCCAGTTCTCCTCACCTCATAAAGTGTAATGATGCCATTTGTCTCATTTGGAGGCTTCCACTGAACATAGATCTTCTCTTCAAAAGGTCCTCCCTGGATGGATTCCAAGGGAACAGGTCCAGGAACTACAGAAGAAAAAAAAAAATAGCATAACACAATGCTGTGTTAGAAGCTACCACAAGCTCCAGCTGCCACACACATCTGAAGACACCAAGAGACCATCAGGCAAAGTTCATTGCTGAAAATAAAAAATAAAAATAATAGTAATTAAAGAAAATCACTAAGTGAGAAACAAAATCAGAATCCATGATAATACAAAGCTGGCTCCAGTATGCCTTCATCCCACAGTAGAAAATCTTTGAGTACTTAAAAAGGAACCAAAACTACAGAAAATGAATTTATTTGTTTATCCACTAAACCACCTGTAAGAGTTTTCCTTGCATAAACACACAGACTTATGCTTCCTGCTTCCATACAACATCACAAAATAGATGTTTAATTTTACCCCAAATTAAGCATTTATTTTTAACCAGTATTGCAGTATGTTCATATTTTTCTAAGCTTCTCTTCTATTCATATATTAAGATGAAAAAAATAAATATTTTAAATATAAAGAACTTAAACAAGTGAAACCAATTCAACTTCACCTCAAACACACCTATTTGCATTAGTGCAAATAACAGTAATTTACACTCTGCAGATAAAGCTTGATGTACAGAAGGTAATGTAAGCAGTAATATTTGCAGTTCTCTGAGAACAGTGCATGAAGATCTTCCTGCTTGCATGTATTGCTGCACCACTGGATAACCTCATGGCACGTCCTTGCAGCGCAGTGCAGTGAGGCATTGAGCCACCTCAGCAAATTGGCCAGAGGAGAGCACCAGCAGTGCTCACTGTTCTATCTGGCAGCGCTGCGCTCAGCTGGTCTGCACTGCTTTTATGGAAGTCTTCTGACTCACTGAGGCAGGAACATAACCTAGGCCTGTCCTTACCACGTGGAAGAGTGATGAGGTGGCACGCTGTTCCTTTTGTCTGAGTTCTGATACAACCTTCTGATCATTTAAATGTCTCTTTTCTGTGCTTTAGACTCCCCAGGCCATCTCATCATCACTGTAACACTGCAGAAATGTCCACAATGCCCACACCATGTCAAGGAGTGTAGTTACAGGGAGTAGCCTTTCTTTAATTCTCTCCCTGTTCTGGAACACAACATCCTTGTATTTCCAGTGGAGCTGTGCTTTATCTAGAAAAAGTTCACCAATATCGGGTCATTAACAAACTTGACACTGTTGCATCAACAAACTGCTTGAGAGTTGGAAGAGTAGCACATCCACAAGGAAGCAGGATTTGCCCTTCAAACACACTGTGAGGATCAGCAATAATGTAGGCAGTGTAGCCTCCTTCAAAAATTATTTGCAGTGAGCAATTTCAGCTCCTCTTCCAGCTCCTTTGGACAATGCCTTCCCTATCTCATGCTTTCCACCTGGGAACATTACAGATGATATATGCACATGACAACTCAAGGCATTACACAGGTGGACAAGGCAGGACACGAATAATTCTCTTTTAAAAGCTTAGTGTGCTCTCTGCTAATTTGTAAGACTGCAGTGCTGTGTATTTACATTTTGCTTACAAGCTAAATCTTGTCCATCTGCCTGTCTTCCATCAGATACACAGGATGGAGAGTGTTTGAGGACAGAATCATTTGGACACAGTGCTAAAGGACAGTTACACTCAGTAGGAAATATACTGTGTCCTCCTTCACCTACACAACAGCAAAGCTCCATCCACCTAAACAGCCAGATTGCACCTCGGCATAAAGATGCTATGAGCTGCACACCTTTATCAATATGAAAGATTGATTTCCCTAGTTAAGGACAACATAAGATTTATGTTTCAAGATGGCTACAAGGCCACCTAAAAATCCACCTACCCAAGCAAAATTTTAATGCTGTGAAAGATAACTAAGTACACTTCCAAGCCTGACTGATAAAAACCCCACTCATTTTTTCAGAAAGATCTGCCATCCTCTTAAGTCCCTTGTATGATATATTAGACGTCTGGAATCACTTTCAGCTGAGAGAAACTTAGGAAAGCAACTTCTTATTGCTCTGGCAGAGGAAGAACATTTCTTTTTAACACTAGATAGAATGGAAGCTTGTAGTTTAGGAGAGTTCTTAGTCTGAAATAGCTCAGATAGGATAATAACACTTTAAAGCTTTCCATCAGTACTTCTTGAAAAGTGTTCTTTTGTCTCGGAATGGAAGAGTTAGCACCAGAAGAATTTAACATCTGAGGCATATATAAAATGCTACATCTAGAAGGTCAGCATTAAGAAAAAACACACTTTAGAAAGGAAGACATTATAACTCTTTGGGGACTGTGATGTAAAGGAACCAGAAAAAAAAAAAAAAAAAAAAAAAGACTAATGTCAGAATTATATTTGCCCATATGATAAAGGAAGCTGCTCTGTAGGTCCTGGGTAGTTCAGAGCACAACTTTTACAGAATTAAACCTACTGCTGTTCAGTAACTGCTCAAACTGGTGCTTGTCATTTCCAAGCACTTCAGGGAGTCCTGCCCTTTCAAGAACACTGCTGTAAAATGGAAATTATTTATACCTACAAATTTAACTTGCGTAACGTACATCCTGTCCAGAGAAGCCATTTATAAGTCTTCTGGGACAGAAGATTATGCTGTTATTTACAGTTCAAAAATATTACAATGCCTTCACAAAAAAAGAAGCTAGCAAGCAAACCCAGCATAACTTACCATCCTCCTCAGTCTGCACAACCAGCTCCTCACTCTCCATTTTGCCTTCCGGATTAGAAAGGGCCAGTCTCAGCCTGATGGTCATGAACGGCCGAAGACCTCGCAAGGTATAGTGGGAAGATGTTTGGATGAGTTCCTCTGCCTCAAATTTTTGCTGGTTAAAGACATACTGGTACTGGACTGTGAGATTGTAGCTGTGGCAGCGGGTCACCGCATAACCAAAGGGCTCCCACTGCAATGTCAGCTGCCGGGAACGGATATCAACAACTTCTACATTCTGTGGTCCATGAACAGGATCTGTGAGGCAAAGAGAAAATAAATAACAGGAGAAATAACAGATTAATTCAACTTTGAAAGAAATCGGCCACCATTAATATGCCTCCTGCCATATTGCCAGAGTATCTGGGTCCCTCCCAATTCTGAGTGCTCTTGCCTTTACAATGTAAAAGCGATATTACATTTTTGAGAGAAGGAACAAAGGCAAAGGGAAATTAAAGTCTGACCCACTAATGTATTCTAGCTGCTGAACCGTCAGTGAAAATCCTGTGATAGGGCACTGAACAGAGGTCATGCTTCTGAGTCCTGTGAAATGTCACCAAACCCAACAATGGCAGCACGATTTAAGTACTGCTTAAAGCTGAAGCTTAAAGCTGCGCTTTCTTCACTTTTACACACACACTCCTTCCCAATACCTCAGTGAATGCAGACCTACCTAAGTGAGGCAAGAAAATAGCAGTCAGAAGAGAAGGAACGGGCTCAGGTCTCTCACCATTACACTCCTGCACCCTCCTTGAAGCCCCAAGCCCACTCTGCTCTGACTGAGGCACAGGAGTACAAGAACCAAGACGGACACTGCCAGACATCCTCTGCCCTAGTGCTGATGCTCCCTCCATTTTTAATTCCTGGGAGGCACTCTTGCATGTTTTGGCAATGGCGTACACGAGCAGACCATGCCCCTCTTTCAGTAAATTTTGTGAGCCAGCTCAACCTTATGCCACTTTTATTTCAGAGCACATCAATGCTTTAGTCTCAACAAAGTTTCATCATCCTGTATTATTCTTTCCACAGTATCTGTCTGAGGTAAAGTTTGAATATTCATGTGTAAGAATCATTTTCACCTGCTGTTCCTTAATTTATTTTTAACAGCATAACTCAGAAGCTTTGACTACAGACTTTGCCCTTTTTATGAAATATAAATGCATGCGTCGTTACTCATGCAGATATAAAGAATGAAAGATGAGTTAGTAAAATCAGTGTTTGAGACATGTCAGATGGTAATAACACGACAAGTGTCACAGTTTGTTTATCTGACATTTCTTCAACTCGGCGAGCTCATTTGCTTTGTTGTTCAATATATATAAAAGAAAAATAATTAGAAAATACATTATTCCACACATTTTGATAGATGTTGCAATTTAGTGTTTTGCCCACTTCTTCCATTCTGTTCCTTTCACAAGCTGAAATTATAAGGGAACATTTTTATGGAAATAAAAAAAGTTATTGGGACTCCAAAATAGAAGCTGCACTACTCTGGAAGACAGTAAAAGTGGAAGAAAATCTTTCCACTGATTCTTGAAGGAGCACAACATCCCTGCTGTGAACAATCTACTAACGGACAAACAAAAAACACACTGCAACAAGCAGTTTATTCACAGCTTTATGCCCTTCTTATGTTGTGGCACCCAGAGCACAGCAGGACAACCCCTTCCCTCGCCCGGCCAGCAGCACTGGGCCTGATGCACCCCAGGGCACAGCTGGCCCTTCTGGCTGCCAGGGCACACTGTGACTTGTGGACAACTTGCTGCCAGCCAGAACCGCCAGGTCTCTTTCCGTGGGGCTGCCAGGGTTGTCCCAGCTGCACAGCCCAGCACTTCTCTTCTTTGTGCAGACAGAAACTACCCTCAAATCTCTCAAGACTTTGGAGCCTCTGTACTCTCAAGGCAATCAGTGCTCCTCCCAGTTAAGCGTCATCCACAAATTTAATGAAGCTACAGAGGCGGCTGTTCCTTTGGAGAAGCAGAAGACTTTGGTTTGGATGGGAAGAAGGGCTGAAGTGCAGCATGAAGGTCTATTCCAGTTGCTCCATTGGGACTTTCGTTTCAACACTGGACCATAGCCAATTTAAAAGGACAACACAAAATAACAACAATAAAAACCTAAGCAATTTTTTTAAAAAGCAAAACCAGTCTGTGCCTCTCCATTTGGGTACCTGAGGGCCTGCCTGGGGACTGCCCAGTGCAGCAGTATGCCAAGACCTCCCTGCAAGGTCTGTGCACTTTTGGGAGAGCCAACAGCTCCTCCCAGCTTGAGCACTACTTGGACACATACATACACGTCTGAAATAGGACAGTTTTTAAAGGATGTGGGGTCTAAATCTAATGACTGAATCTGTTTCCAGATAAGCCATGTCATTTCTCTAGCAATCAGAAAACACCTTAAAGGAAATTCTCCAGCACACCCTGTCTTTACATATATATACATATATTTAGAAATTAGAGAGTTTGTATGCATGTATATATGGACACTTATTCATAACAGTTGATCATTGCTTTACTATAAGACCACAGAAAGAACATTTCTGTAGATTTATTGTATACGTAATTAAGCTGAACCAAATAATGTTTCTGTGACAACTTCCAGCCTCTGAAACTGTAACAATTAGCACAATCCTGGCTTTGCAAGCATTCAAAGAAAACCAAAACCAGCTGAATGTCCTTCAGAGCTTTCCAAGGTAAACAACTCCTGACTCCAAACCAGATTGGGGCCGAGACACTGCAAAAATGTCATGTCTTGGCAGTGGTGCAGCTGAAGATGGCAATTAACCTCCATGCTAATGTTATAGCATTTTTAAAATTAGTTATTTAAGTCCGTCATGTTATAGAATGAATGGGCAATGAGAGGGTGTTTGGTTTATTGTCGTCAGGTGTGTTGACTACTGGTGAGTAAGAAATGAGACTGATTCAGCATCAGCTCATTAAAGTGCACGTCCAAAACCTTTGCTGCGGATGATTATCTGCATTTCCTAGTTATCTCACCCTGTTCACATTAGCCCTTTCATTTCTTAGTTTCGCAAAACTAAGTCTCCCAAGCTGGTCCGTGTTGAACAATCTCAAATTCTAACTCCGTAATTGTATCATAAATGCTCTATGATATATCCTGATTTATTTTTTTTTTCTCAGCACAATGTTTTTAGTAGAGTAACCTGGCTATGAACAGCAGGTGGGTTTGAATTATAAGGCAAGAAACTAAACTCCAGATTTCAGATATTGTCCAGAGACCCCACTACACGAACACAGAACATCCTGCATTATCCCAAAAGCTATCGTTTTTCAGGCTTATGTCATTAAAATGTGAAATTTATCAGTCCAGTGGTGTAGGGTTGTGGCAGTGAGGTGGGAAGTGATTCGGGTTTTGCACTGAAAACAGAAATGGGATGCAAGTTTCAGAAATACCCATATCCTCAGGAGATTCCAAAAGTGTAGAGGTTTAGCATCTAATGGCCTTCTAGATTCTTTAGCCAAGAGGAATGTATAAATAAGTAAAAACTATTTAAACCTTAGGTTCAGAGAAGGAGAAATGAGGCTGGAATCACATCAGTAAATTGAAGCACAAGACCTGCAAAGCTTTATATTCCTTCTGGCACCCTTATCTCATCTTTCAATCTCCTTTTCCTGGAAGCTAAGACTATGTAATTCTGAAAATGTTTTCCTGTTGCCACACCAATTTCCTCCACAGCATAAGCCACTGAAACTTATTGTTAAAGATGAGATTCTGTATTGTTTTTAAAGGGCAGCAGTCTTACTACTTTCCCAGTTTAATTCCTCCTGCACTTCAGCTTTGCAAGTACATATCCTTCTTTTTCAATCTTAGTCTCAAAAGGTCCGTAGTACCCATTTCCCTGGGTCTGCTGTATAACATAAACTACTTTTCATAGTGCAATCACTTATTTTCCCTAAAAGAGTAAACTAAAGCTTAGCAGAAGGAGATCTGGGGGTGCTGGTGGCAGCAGGTTCAACGTGTGCCAGGAGTGTGGCCTAGAGGGGAAACCATATTTTGGGCTGCATTAAACAGCATGGCTGTCTCATCAAAAGAGGTGTTTCTCCTGCTGCATTTAGCACTGATGTGGCCTCACTTTGAGAACTGTGTGCAGTTCTGGGTTCCACAGTATGGAAAGGATGCCAAAGTCCTTGAAAGAGTCCAGAGGAGGATAACAAAGATGTTTAGAGGGCTGGAAGACACATTCCAGGTAGGAGAGACTGAGGACATATGGGCTGTCCAGTCTGAAGAAAAGGAGGCTGAGTGGCAACATCACTGCTGTCTGCAGTGATGGAGGGGGAGGAGGGGGAGCAGAAGGTGGTGCTGAGTTGTGATCATGGGAACTGGTGGCAGGATGGGAACGGCACAAAGCAGTGCTGGGGAGAGTCAGACCAGGCATGAAGAAAAACTGCCCTGTTGTGAGGGTGGTCAGACACTGCAACAAGACTCCCAGCAAGGGGGCTCTCAGTGATCAAGAGGAAACTGGATCATGCCCTCATTAATATGCTTTACTTTTTGGTTAGCCCTGAAGAGGTCAGTTGAACTAGATGATATCTGTACATTCTTTCCAACAGAACTATTCTCTATAATCTTCTACTATTGGAAATACCTGAAGAGTGGACAAACTGCTCCAATTCTGTATAGAATACAAAAATTATAGCTTTCCAATAAAGCAAGGAGAAAACTAGAAATTATTATTTGGCTAGTTGAAGAGAAGTTGCTAATATAGATCTCAACTTCTGCTGTACAGAAAAACTACCAAAGCAAGACAGAAGCAGTCTGACCCAATCTGAATAGTGATGGATCATATATATTAAGACATCAGTGGAACCTGCATATACTGAAGTTTCTACATGTACTGAGACCTTGGAAAACCCATGAAAATTCTTAACAGGCAGCAGCAATGAAACAGCTGTCACTGATCTATTAAAACTAGCCTTGAATCCGTACAAAGAAAATCATAGTCTCTGGGATTTCACTGTGCAAACACTTCATTTTCCTTTCAGCCTGACTGAACTATTAATTACATCAAAATCAAGGACCAAACAGTATTTTTTAATACTGTATTTCTCACCAACACTTCCACACCTATCCTTACTTCAGTGGGACGCTGCAAGATGTAGCTGGCCAGGAACCTTGCTGAACTGTGATAGCCCAGTGGCCAGGATGGAAACAAACTCCAGCAGATCATTCAGATCCACGTAAACAGATGCTTTTGACCCACTGGTGACTGCTACTGTTCAGAAACTGCATCTCCTGCT